GCTGGGATTTTTTTTTTATTTTTCTTTTTTTTTTTTTTTTTAATGCATAAATACTGGGATTATTTTCCTATTTTATTTAAAAGAAAAACAAATGCATACATGGAACAATGAATGTTTTTCTATTTGACTTCACTGAAACTGAATATTGCATCAAAATGAAAAAAAGTACACCATCTCATTGAGGCCTCATTCAATCGGTTGCAATCTATTGGTCAACGGATGGTAGCCCAAAAAATGGAATGGGTGTGAATAGGACCAGTCCACAGCGCTCTGGTTCGTTGCGTTGTTGTGCACTGGAAAAAAGAAAAAAAAGGAAAGCATGCTAAGCATGTTCTACTTTTTTTCAGTGCAATGTAAAGGAACATGGAAAAAATTGAAGGAAACAGAACAGAAGTAAAAAAAAAAAAAAAAACAGAAGTTTGTGTACTCAGGACAACTAAGGCTGGCAAAAAATAAATAAAAAAAAAAAGCAAAGCAATGATCGAAAGTCACTGGAGGTTGAAAGTGCAAGTAAATGGACCTCCATCGATGTATGTTTTTAAGGCCTGATTTTGGTGTAAAGTGGCCTCACACATGGCACCGGACCAGTGGTCTCAAAGTACCGGCCCGCCAGCCGGTACTATGTGGCCTGCAGCCAGCTCAAAAGTCTGGTACGCGGTCACGGAGGTTGGATGCAGACCGCAAAGCTGCTTCTGTGCCAGCACTCTGATCCTTTCGGCCAGCGTCTTTGCTAAATGCTGGCCGAAAGGATTAGATTAGTAAGGTCTGCAGCAGACCTTACTAATCACCACTAGATCCCCGGGGGTTTAAAGATGATCGTGGCTCTCAGCCTCCTCCCTGCAACAAGGTAAGCAGGAGAGGGGGCTGTGTCTTTAATTTACATGTGGGTGTGCGGGGCGGAGGGCGTGGGGCTGGGGGAAGACTGGGAATTATATTTCATATGCGTGTGTGGGGAGGGGAGGGGGACTGGGATTCTCTCTCTCTCTGGTATTTTTTCATGTGTATGGGGGGGGAGGTATTATTTTTTATGTGCAGGGATATGGTTTTTTTTTATGTGAAGGGGTGCGGGGGAGTATTAGGCTCCATTCACACCTGTATCTTTAGGTGCAATTAGGTTATTCCTGCATCAGGAATCCCTAATCTGGCGCTTACAAGCGGCCACTGTCACCCATTCAAGTTAATGATCAGGTGACAGCAGTTGCATGTAAACTCCTGCATACCGCATGTAATGCTACACGATATGTTTACATTTGGTTAGGAATCAATCAGTCACTCTCCCTGGACGCAATGACTGTGCATTCAGGGAGAGTGTTTTCTAACCGCATGTAATAATCACATATCATTACATGCAGTGTGCAGGAGTTTACATGCAACTGTTGTCACCCGATCATTAACTTGAATGGGTGACAGCGGCCACTTGTAAATGCCAGATTAGGGATTCCTGATGCAAGAATCCCTAATAGCACCTAAACCTACAGATATGAACGGGGCCTTATTGTGTGTGCATTGGGGTATGTAGTACCACGCCAGCATTTAGCAAAGACGCTGGCCGAAAGGATCAGAGTGACGGCACAGAGCAGCTTTGCGGTCTGCATCCAACATCCGTGACCGCGTACCAGACTTTTGAGCTGGCTGCAGGCCACATAGTACCGGCTGGCGGGCCGGTACTTTGAGACCACTGGTCCGGTGCCATGTGTGAGGCCACTTTACACCAAAATCAGGCATTGGGGTATGTAGTACCACACCGAATATAGTTAGATTTTATTTTAAAGTTTGAAATTTGTCAAGCGGCCCCCATGGGAGAAAAAAAATGTGTCTAGTGGCCCCCGCGGGAATTGAGTTTGAGACCCCTGCACTGGACAGTATTTGGAAGCGGAGAGGTTGATTAATAACAAGCACAGTAATGCTGTTTACAAACAACTACGGTATGTTATGCAGATAAAATATGTACAATTGTAATCTGCTGGAACAAACCATTATGACAACATATTACTGCGCCTCATCAATAAAAAGCATGAAAGATCTGCCTGTGGTAACCAAATATTTTCTATGGTTTTGTCATCTGTGAATCTGAATGGATGCGAGGAGCAATGTATGGTGATTTCAGACCCTTCTGTACAAGTATTGTGCCAACTAGTTATGGTACCAGAGCCACAATACTTTGAGCAAATGTCACCTGAAACTAGATTGCTAGCGTTGGACAAGTGACACTAGAGGAGTGCGTGGCACAATTCTCCGGAACGCAATGAACGTTCTTGGTGGCTTGCTGCAGAAGCTCTACATGGGTCTATATAATTGAGCGGTTGGCGCTGCATCGCTTTACTGTAGCGTCTTAGAGCTGCGATTCTGCACTCTGCAATCACATCAGTTGGAAGGCCATCATAAGTCTGACCAGAAGCAGCATAGGTCCTGGAGGTGCATTACATCCAGAGTCTGTGTACAGAGGCCGCACACTGAGCAACTTGGAATGCAAAGCAAACACATGAGGATGAATAACAAACCCAATGCCATTGGTAACAAGGCATCCCGAGTACATAACCACGCTGTATGTGTCCAAGTGTCTCTCAGCACCCTGCTTTGTGTGCTATAGCATCATGTCCCTCACACAATGAAGATCCTCATAACAAACCTGAACATAGCCAAAAAATACCTACTCCATTGTCAATCCAATATGGAAAGATTCCAGAACACTTGGCAGGGCTGAAGAACTCCCATTAACCTTTGTTCAGTGTAAACCTACAATAATAAAAGCTGCTTACTGTACACCTCAGAATGATATTTGTGCCGTATTCCCAAGACAACAACAACAATGCTCCTTGTTTTCCATTTATCCCACACACTATCCTACTCCCTCCTCCCGGCCGTACACACAGCAATGTTCTGGAGCATCAACAAGATTTCTATCTCACATACAACTTCACAGATCACGGCACCTTCCCACCAGCTTTATATATAATGATATCTAAAAGGAAGGGTGATAGGTCGGGTCGATCCATTGAATTGTTTGTGTGATGGAAATCAGTAAACACGCATGCTGCTGCCCCCATGCACTTCAATATTCACTTTACTGCCCCTTGATATGATGATGCTTCTTCATGCCCTTCAATATTACCCAGCTGCCCCTTGGCATTATGGTGCTTCCTTGTGCACCTCAATATTAACAAACTGCCCCTAGATATGATGCTGTTGCCTCATGCACCTCAATTTTACCCTGATGCTCTTCGACATGAAGCTGCTAACCCCATACCCTGCCTTAATAATACCACGGTGCCCCCCGACATGATGGTGCCTCCCTGTGTCCCCTATATTACCCAGCTGCCCCTTGACATGATGCTGCTGCCACAACCCTCATTGTCTAACCCACTTGCCCTCAATATTACCCCTCTACCTGATGTTGATGCCACCACTGCCCTTACCCTTCACATTTACACAGCTACCTTGTAAGCCTCAATACCACATTAATGCCTTGTGTCTTACATCACACTGCTGCCCACAGCCCTGACTATTCTACTGCTGCCCTGCACCGCTCAATAACATCCGGCGTCCAGAGTGGTGGCCATCAATGCCAACAATACCTTAAACGTGGATGTACCCAAGACTAAGATCAGAACAACACTCCTGTGTTATTGCAGGCTATTTAAACACAGAAGAAATGATCTGGGAAATATAAACAAACCTAATGCTTCCCAGATCTCCTGCGTTTAGATATACCGGCCTTTTGTGGACTTAGCTGCGTATAGCGTTTGTAATCGGATCCTAAATACACAATTCTATTTTCTCTAAACGCAGGTGTGCATCTAAACACAGGAAAGGAAGCTCAGTGTGTGTTGATGATCACAGCAATCCATACACTACGCTCTGCACTGGGATGAGACAACTGCAGTACAAATACATCATCCTGATCACTCGTTGAGTGCAGAAAACTTTTCCCATACACACAACCATCAGACTGCAATAAACTACAGCAGCCAGGCTGCTCACAATGTTTACATGTGTTTGACTTGTACACAGAGAACAGAAAATATAAAGTGCATCACCTGACTTCATCATCAGATTCTCAATGTAAATAATAAAAAGTGTATAATATAAAGTATACTTTATAATCAGATTCTCAGGGTCAATAATAATAATGTGTACAGTGAAGTACAATATAAATTGCATCACCTGACTTCATCATCAGATTCCTAATGTCAATAATAATAATAATAATAATAATAAAGTGTACAATGAAGTACAATATAAAGTGTATCACCTGACTTAATCATCAGATTCTGAATGTCAATACTAATAAAGTGTACAATGAACAGCCATCACCTGACTACATCATCAGATTCTCAGTGTCAATTCACAATAATGTATACATTGAAGTACAATATAAAGTGCATCACCTGACTTCATCATCAGATTCTCAGTGTCAATGATAATAAAGTGCACAATGGTGTGAAATCTGCACCCTCACCATACTGTACTTGTGTAAACAATCACAACCCTCGTTTCATTTCCACACCGCACTGCAGAAATGAAAGCACGAAGCTGATTGGTTGCTATGGGCAACAAGACGTGTCCAGCCTGGAACCCTTTTCACACATCAACCACAAAGTGTGTGAAAAAATGGAAACAAGCCGCCCGCATGTGCGGTGCTGCCCAAAGGACAAGCCATTACTAGCTGAGAACGCCGCTCGAAGTGACTGAAGTTTGCACCGAGTGATCAGCAGTTCCAGTCACAGCTACTTTGTAAAGTCAGAGCAGGTCTATGGGAGTCCCAGCAGGAAAAGTGCACTTCTAGCAGTAACCCCCTCCCCCCGCCTTCGGCTGTCAGTGACTTGTACCTCAGCCGCAGCTCCGGAGTCCCGAGCACAGAAGTTCCAGAGGAATCAGAACATATCCGGCGGCGTTGCTCAGAGCGGAAAAGCGGACACACAAGCAGCTCAGTCACTCCCGAGTCTCACTGTCCCAGGAGCTCGGAGCCGCGCATAGCTGAGGGGGGGGGGGGGGGGTTGGACGCGTCCATTAATAAACATCACTAGAGAACGGGGAGGATCCTAACACAACTACAGAGGAGTTCATATGCCGCCCAACCCCCTGCTCGGGACCTCTCCCCGTGTCGCTGCCCAATGGCTCCGCCTGTCTCGTCATTAACTACGCCCCTCTTGTCAGCGGAGAATGGCAGGGATAATGGCAAGCTTTCGAGCTCTGATTGGCACATCTTGAATCGCTAGCACGCCCCTTTGTTTGACACGAACCACGCCCACGTGCAGTCGTTCCTCCCCATGTCGTTGAAACTCCGCCCACATGAGAGAGCGGGGCTGTGTTGAGTGGAAGTTTCTCTGTGGACGATACAGTTCAATCGTTTTTCAGACTTAAAGTGTATGTAAAACATTGAATTTCATTGATTTGCTTCCACTTGGTCTGTGAATAGCACCATTAAAAGCATTTTGATATATTAAATCAGTAACAAAAAATACTTGTTGATTCTGCCACACATGTTGTGCCTTGATAACTTTCTTTTTTTTGCTTTGCTATACCGAAATCAGCATTGTTCCCAGTTTTCTTTGTGGACTACAAAACACCTCCATGCTATGTTATGGAGAATAGGATAGAGCGAGGGTTTCTGTAGTCCTAACACACTTCCCTAGAGTGACAAAAAATCCTAGCAATACATTAGACATCAATGCAGAATAATACCATCAGCTAGAGAGGACTACAGATCCCAGCAATACATTATACAGCAATGCAGAATACCATTAGCTATAGAGGACTACAAATCCCAGCAATACATTATTCAGCAATGAAGAATAATACCAGCTAGAGAGGACTACAAATCCCAGCAATACAATATACAGCAATGCAAAATAATACCATCAGCTAGAGAGGACTACAACTCCCAGCAATACATTATACAGCAATGCAGAATACCATTAGCTATAGAGGAATACAAATCCCAGCAATACGTTATACAGCAATGCAGAATAATAGCAGGAAGCAGGAACTTCCTTGGTCTTCTCCGGGTCTCCATCTTGATCCCCATTTACCATGGTCCCGAGCCCCCCACTAGAGTGGGGGGCCCCAGAAAACCACAGCGGGGTGAAGGGGGGCAGCACATTAGCAGACTGCTACAAGTGATCTGGGCAGATGTAAGGGAGGAGAAATCACCCGCCCCAACATTCTCGCAACTAGATGGAGCCAAGAAGCATAGCAATGTGTTATGCTCCACAGCTCCATCTAGTGTCGAGAATGCCGTGCGAATGGCACCTGGCTATTACATGTCAAGGCATATGATTTATAAATCATTCCCCTAGTGTTTGGGGTTGATTTTCAATCCTATGTCTGGGCCCAAAAACCTTTTTTTCTAATTCAGAGAAATTGCTGTTGCTTCTCTCGCCTTGTTATGTGGCCAGATCAAACGCAAATGTATGTCAATGCAACCGCGTCTACCCTACCCTATTTACAAATGAAAGATGATTCGTGAGCATGGGAAATGGCCAGCTTTCATGTGATCTGGAAAATGTTTCACTCCACTGCATACAAAGGCAGCATGTATACCAGCAATACATTATACAGCAATGCAGAATACCATTAGCTATAGAGGACTACAAATCCCAGCAATACATTATTCAGCAATGAAGAATAATACCAGCTAGAGAGGACTACAAATCCCAGCAATACAATATACAGCAATGCAAAATAATACCATCAGCTAGAGAGGACTACAACTCCCAGCAATACATTATACAGCAATGCAGAATACCATTAGCTATAGAGGAATACAAATCCCAGCAATACGTTATACAGCAATGCAGAATAATAGCAGGAAGCAGGAACTTCCTTGGTCTTCTCCGGGTCTCCATCTTGATCCCCATTTACCATGGTCCCGAGCCCCCCACTAGAGTGGGGGGCCCCAGAAAACCACAGCGGGGTGAAGGGGGGCAGCACATTAGCAGACTGCTACAAGTGATCTGGGCAGATGTAAGGGAGGAGAAATCACCCGCCCCAACATTCTCGCAACTAGATGGAGCCAAGAAGCATAGCAATGTGTTATGCTCCACAGCTCCATCTAGTGTCGAGAATGCCGTGCGAATGGCACCTGGCTATTACATGTCAAGGCATATGATTTATAAATCATTCCCCTAGTGTTTGGGGTTGATTTTCAATCCTATGTCTGGGCCCAAAAACCTTTTTTTCTAATTCAGAGAAATTGCTGTTGCTTCTCTCGCCTTGTTATGTGGCCAGATCAAACGCAAATGTATGTCAATGCAACCGCGTCTACCCTACCCTATTTACAAATGAAAGATGATTCGTGAGCATGGGAAATGGCCAGCTTTCATGTGATCTGGAAAATGTTTCACTCCACTGCATACAAAGGCAGCATGTATGTCAGAAATGTTCTCCGTATTGCGGTTTTGTTGAGAGTGGATTAAGAATGTCTAACATTTTATCATTTTTTACAATTTCCAGGCATTGTATGTTCAATATGTCTCTTCAATAAAATGCTTCACTAACAATAATGTAAAAGGTGTCTTTCTATGATAATATAAACATACAGTATTTGTTGTACACGTATGTATACTAAATCAAAATCTTCTGGCTGCCCTTAAAATAACAAAAATGTGTTTCATGTGTAAACATAGACAACAAAATAAACCATAACTTAAAGTGACACTAAAGTAAAAAAAAATTCCCTCTCCCCATTGCTGGTGTAAGGATCTCCCTTAAATGATGCCTCTTGATCCGATCATCTTCTTCTTTCCAGTCCCTCCAGCGCTGATATCGGTCTCTGATCCAGCGCTGACTTCTGTCTCTTCCTGTCCCACGGAGTCTGGACCCGTTCACACCAGATGTAGTGCGTTCCGGCCCGCTTCTGGCCAGAACGCACTGCCTCGCACTGCGACCTGCTCACTTTTTTGTGGGGCAGTAGGGGGTGTGGCGGGACACTGAAGTGAATGGCACTGTAGCCACGCCCTCAAGGCGGCAATGCGATTGGCCGCATGGGATCGCAAGGCACATTATGCCTGCGGTCCAATGCGATCAAAATGGTGCTTGCTCCTGCCCCACAAAAAAGTCATCCAGCCGCAATGCGAGGCAGCGCGTTCTGGCCAGAATTGGGCCGGAACGGGCCCTCTGTGCACCCGGGCTGCCTGCATTGACTTACCCTGTGTCTCTTCTCTCGGCCGAAGATCTCTACTGCACATGCGCCCTCCCCATGATCCTTTCCGTCCACCTGAGAATCTTCAGAGCTTCGGACGGGAGCACATGGCGGAGACACAGGTAAGTTTTAAGCTTTTTGTTAACTTTTTTTTAAATGTTTTTGCATAAATCTACTGCTTGCTTGCTTGCTAGCAGTAGATAGATGCAAAAAAAAACGAGAGGGATTAATTGTCCTTTAAAGTAGTATTAAACACAAACTTTTTTCAATAATAAATCCAGATTAAACAGAAGAGAGGAGTGAGGGAAGGGAGTGAGGGAAGGGAGTGAGGGAAGGGAGTGAGGGGGGGGGGGGGACGG